ATAGTAGGTGCTTCTTACAGATAGGCTGCAAGAACAGAGAGATAAAGAGTAAAGTCTATGAGCCAGACTGCTTGTATTGGAATTGTGGCTCCTCTGCTTATAGGCAGTGGTATAGCTTGGAAAATTAAGCTCTCTGCAACACAAATAAGATAGGGCTAATGATATTATCTTCATATTTTTCTTTAAAAGATTTTATTTATTTATTTGAGAGAAAGAGAACAAGCAGTGGGGTGGGGCAGAGGGAGAGAGAGAAAAGCAGACTCCCCGCTGAGCAGGAAGCCCGATGCAGGGCTCCATCCCAGCATCCGGAGATCATGCGTGACCGAGCCGAAGGCAGACGCTCAACCGACTGAGCCACCCAGGCACCCCTAGCTTCGTATTTTTTGTGTGTGAGAATTTAATAAGTTAGTATTTGTTAAGCATTAAGGACAGTAACTGATATAGCAAATACTCAAAATGAGTAAAGTTATTATTACTGTTATTGTAATATAGTTTATTGAAAATGTATTATTATTATTTTTTAATGTATTATTTTCTTTAGAAAACCCAAACAGAAAACTCACCCTTTATTTGCAGATTCCCAAACCACTGTTGCACCATTTCAGTCTGAGACGTTTGGTCTGGAAATGGAAAAGGAGTTTTTCCTGGACAAAGATGACTGGAGCTAAACAGAGAAAAAAAATTCCGATAAACTAATAAAAAAATTATCAGGTAATGACTTTTGAAGATAAAAATATTTAAAAAGGTAGTTATCTTTTGATCTGAATACCTAAAAATTTTAGAGTAACTATAGAAACCAATATTTGCATAATTAAATGGTCTCTAAGAAGCTAAACTTCCAGATCAAAATGCCAATGGTACTGTGACAATGTTTCTACACAGCTATTGCCATCTTGTAATTTAGGCATAAAAATCAAAGATCAGAAAAAGGAAAAAATAAACACTACAATCATTAAAAAATTGCCTTCATGTGAGAAGCAGTCAATAATATGATTACTCATTACTTGCTCAGCTTGTGTGTGTGAGTGTGTGTGTGTGTGAGAGAGGGATAGAGAAAGACAGAACAGTTACTATCAGAGTACTTTAGGGATCAGACACGTTTAATATGATACTTTGCACTGGAGACCTGCTTCCTATAAAACAAAAAATGAAACAAAATTCTCAAGTATTAAACACATTCATGAGCACATACACTTATTATGAAAGAGGTTTTTTGTGTTTTTTTTAAAGATTTTATTTATTTGACAGAGAGAGACACAGCAGGAGAGGAAACACTAGCAGGGGTAGTGGGAGAGGGAGAAGCAGGCTCCCCGCTGAGCAGGGAGCCCGATGCGGGGCTCGATCCCAGGGCCCTGAGATCATGACCTGAGCCGAAGGCAGATGCCCAATGACTGAGCCACCCAGGCGCCCCTATGAAAGAGTTTCTTAACTACAATTAAAAATCATCATTCTGATTTTCTTTCTGATTTTCTTTCTAATAAGAAATAGAAATCATAGCTAAGAAGTACCCCAGGAACATCTGACAATATTAGAAAAAATTAACCCTCCTTAGTTAGATGCAGCTTCCTATTTGTACTAATATAACATTTATAGAAAAATAAAATGTTTTTGATAGAATTCTTCTTACCGTGCTTGATCATTATCAGGTCTTTCAAAAGATCCAGAACTATTGGATGTCTTTTCTTTAAAGAAGTGAAAAATATTGGTATTGCTGTTTATAGGTGAGTATCTTTCTTCATTTTCATCTACTCCTGATCTTTTGGATTTTGAAAGCATTTCTGCTGAGCGACATCGTTCCATTGTAAATGTTTTTGCTCGAGACTGACTATTAGAAGTGCCAGATCTATCAGAGGAATGGGCTCTACGAAGGTATCGAGAATGTGGCCTTTCTTCTATATCCTGGGTCACTCTTCCCCTTCCACTATTACTGGTTTCTTGTTCTTGATTTCGCCACTGAGTATAAAGACTGCTTCCATCTCCTGAAGAAGAAAAATCACTTGAATTTTTATTCTTTGGAAATATCGTCACTTTATTTGGGAGTGGCTGACCAATCAAAAGTCTTCTTCTGTCAAAGAAACTACCACTTACACTGGTACTGGAAGAAGCTGTAATTGCAGTAGAAATTGTGGCATGTCCACTATCAATTGAGTCTTCTACAGTTCCTAAATCTTTACTTTTTGTTGAAGAATTTCGGGACATAAAAGGATGGTCTAATACTGAAGACAGACTTAAACGATCTGCTGGATTTCTACGAAGTAACTGGTGAATAAGGTCCTTGGCCTCTCTTGTCAAAAAAGTTGGCATTTCATAATCTGCCAATACTACTTTATTTAATGTGTTCTTGACTGTGTCAGTGTCAAAAGGTGGTCTCCCAATAAGCAATGTATAAAACATACAGCCCAAGGACCAAACATCAGATTCAAGTCCATGTGCACTTCGAGTTGCAATTTCTGGTGAAATGTAATTAGGAGTTCCACATAATGTATAGTGCTTCTCATGCGGCATTTTCAATTGAGTTGCCAGCCCAAAATCAGCAATCTTGATGTTCATATTACGAGTAAGTAAGAGGTTAGAAAGTGTGAGGTCCCGGTGTAATATACCATGAGAATGGAGATACAACATTCCTGTGATGATCTGGTGCATAAAGTGTCGAGCTGTTGGAATGCAAAAAATAAAATTTATAATTTAGAAAATCTGATTCAGTATTCAGAATCTTAGAATTCAGTTTTTAGAAACCCAAGTACATGTGCCACAGTATTACATTAGAACACCAGCTTGCAGCTTAGTTTTACCAACCAAAGTACTATTATGATAATTTTATAATATCCTTTAAGTCCCCTTAAGACAACTGGGCCGTTGAGTAAAATTTAAATACACAAAAGAAAAAGAGCAGCCACCTACCTTCATTTTCTGAGAATGGTTTCATTCTGTTCTTTAGATACCTGTTCATTTCTCCATTATGGCACATTTCTAATACTAGATACACATAATTGTTATCTTCAAAATAGTTATACAGCTGAAATGTAAAAGGGCATAGTAAATGATAATATACAAAAATTCAATGTCCTTGGTCACTTTTATAAAATTTGTGTTACCTCCAAGATAGAAGGATGTTTCAACTGGCAATGTATTTTCACCTCATTCTGGACTCTCTGCACCATTCCAGCTTTGTACATGGCTTTCTTATCTATCTAAAAATAACATGAGACATTTAAATGTTGATGATGACCTTCCAAATGTGAAGTTTTCAGAAGTTAACTCTGGAGAGAAAGTATACTTTAAAATATTCTTACGTCCTTTTATCTACTTCTTTATGAGGTCAATTTATTCTATTGCCTGTTTTCCCCATGCACCTAACAGAGTGCTTGGCAGAATGGACATTCAGTAAAAGTTTACCCAATGCATTCTAATATCCCTTCCCAACTTAAAGAATTTAAGAGCACAACTATCATATCTATAACAAGCAACAAAAATCTAGCCACGCTAGATTTAAATAATCTGTCCCTCTTTTTCTACTAGACAAGCTTTTAAAGTAAAACTTCCCTTTCCCTCCTGGTTTAGATTAAGTGATTCTTAATTTGTTTATGATACTCCTATTAGACTGACCCCCTAACAATCAAAACATAGTATTTTAGAGTGTTACAAGTGTAATATAGAAGTAGCACAAGTCCTACTCATTATTATAAACAAATTATTTGTTCTTTGATTTCTATCAATTGCTACAAGTTTGCATAATAACAAGTACTAGGTCTAGTGAACATGAATGAAAATAAAACACTTATTTAAGCACAGTCAAGGATCTCCTAACACATCTGTAAGGTCAATCGCTGGACTTGGCACTATTGTCTTCTGCATAAGCAATGGGTTCTCGCCACCCTTAATTAAAAAAAAGCCTCATAGGTAAAGAGTTTCTTACAATTTAAGTCACCTCTCTAATTACTTGCAAAGTAGAGGTGAAAAGTTGATTAATATATTCTTACCATTTTGATTGCAACTTCCAAACCAGTGTGAATGGACTCAGCTCTGTAGACACCAGCAAATGATCCTTTACCAAGCAGATTCCCAACTTTAAAATCCTTTAAAGTTAAAATTAAAGATATGTGTGATGACTCACAGGAGTAAGAAAGAAGACAGGAAGAGACTGGAAAAAGATGATAAAATGGATCAAGAGGGGAATATGAATTCAAAATTCAAGCAGGTATTACACCTCCATACAGCAGGTGTCTGGGGTGGGAAGCATGCTGACGCCTTGCGGGGATCCCTGGAAGTCCAGGCTGGGCTTCAGATACAGCGCGCTAATGAACCGCTTTCTCCACCTCAGTGCAGCTTCAGCACCTTGCTCCCACCTCCAGCCAACCCCTGGGAGCAGAGGGCTCCGCTGGAATCCCGCCGCAGCTCCCGCCTGAGGTAACCGCCATCCCCTCGGAGAAGCGGGTGGCAGTTTTGCCCTGTTCTAGCGCGGCAGACCCGGCGGGATAGCCTTGGTGTCCGGAGACGGACGGGCGGGGCCGCGAGCGACCCACCTTTCCCCCAACACCCCAGCCGGAGGGGCGGGGCGCTCCGCCCTAGGCAGCCTGGCCGGCGGTTGGGACTCTCCCAAATCACCTCGGCGCCCGCCCCGCAGCCGTTAGATTCGCCTGGTCCCCTTTCTGCCGCAGTCTCGAGTCCTGCCACTCCGACTACCCCGCCCCGCCTCCACCCTGCCCTGCAGACGACTGCCAAGACTTTTCACCTCGATCTTCTCCCCGATGCAAGTCGCCATATTTCCAGGCTCAGGCCTGTGCTCCCCAGGTTAGCTTCCTTCACGCAGTCCCCTTGAGGCAGCGCTCCAAGCAGCCAGCCGGTCTTGGCGCCCATCAGGCTTGGCTCTCTAGGCCGCCGCTCCGGGCGACGGCTGCACAGCCACTGAAAGGCCTCCCCGGCACCTTCCGAGACCTGGGCGCCGCCTCCGCGCTCCCATTTTGAAAAACTCCCGCCGGTTGCCGTCCCAGCCGGGCTGGCCGTGACGTCAAGACACCGGGCGCGCATGCGTGGCGGGCTCTCCTGCGCGGCCGAAGGGGCCTAGAACCGGAAAGGCTCTGGCGGCCCTGCAGCCTTGCTGGGGAGTGTTGGCAGTCAGGCTTCCAGACGGCCGGGTTTGCTGTGGATAAAAGAGCTAGACTGAAGGATGAGACGACCGGTAGGCTGCTCACTTGACTGTCCGGAAAACTATCTCCATTTCTATAAAGATTTTAAAACGATTTTTAAAAGTTCAAATGTTTAAATTAAAAAAAAAAAATCATTACCTAGCTTAAACACCCTTTGTACCTCTGCGTTTACTCCATAGATTTTCCTAACTGTAATGAATGTGTATGGTGCTTTAAGAAATTGAACTCCATTCTTTATTTTGGTAAATATAGCAACTTACATTTAAGAGATCCCACACACTTTATGCAATGTATTGATTAAAGGAGCCTTCTATAAGGTTGGAATGATCCACTTTTTGCAGATGAGAAAACTGATATTTATTAAGGATTTAAAACGAATGACACCACAAACTTAGATATTGTGTTTTGTGTTTTTTTTTTAAAGATTTTATTTATTTATTTGAGAGAGAGAGTGGGGAGTGGTGGTGCTCAGTGCTCAACATGACAACACCTATTTCACCCATAACCCCTACCCTCCTCTCTTCTGGTAACCATCAGTTTATTCTCTATAGTTAAGAGTCTGTTTCTTGGCTTATCTCTCTTTTTTTCCTTTGATCATTTGTTTTGTTTCTGAAACTCCACATATGAGTGAAATCATATAACTTACTTTGTTCAGCATTATACTCTAGCTCCATCATGTTGTTGCAAATGGCAAGATTTCATTCTTTTTTATGGTTGAATAATAGTCCATTCTATATATACCACAGCTTGTTTATCCATTCATCAATCAGTGGATACTTGGGCTCCTTCCATAGTTTGGCTATTGTAGATAATGCTACTATAAACATCCTGGTGCATGTATCACTTTAAATTAGTGTCTTTGTATTTTTGGGGGGGGTGCAATTGCTAGATCATAGGGCAGTTCTATTTTTAACTTTTTGAGGAACCTCCATACAGTTCTCCAGACTGGCTGCACCACCTTGTGTTCCCATCAACAGTGCAAGGGGGTTCCTTTTTCCCCACATTCTTGCCAACACATTGTTTCTTATATTGTTGATTTTAGCCATTCTGACAGGTGTGAGATGGTATCTCATTGTAGTTTTGATTTGCATTTCCCTGATGGTAAGTGATGTTGAGCACCTTTTTATGTGTCTGTTGGCCATTTGTATGGCTTCTTTAGAGAAATGTCTGTTCATGTCTCTGTCCATTTTTTAGTTGGATTATTCATTTTTGGGTTGTTGAGATTTATCAGTTCTTTATATATTTTGGATACTAATGCTTTATCAGATATGTCATTTACAAATACCTTCTCCTATTCCATAGGTTGCCTTTTAGTTTTGCTGATTGTTTCCTTTGCTGTGCAGAAGCTTTTTATTTTGATGTAGTCCCAGTAGTTTATTCTTGCTTTTGTTTCCCTTGCCTCAGAAAACATATCTAGAAAGAAGTTGTTGCAGCCAATGTCATAGAAGTTACTGGTATGTTATTTTCTAGGATTTTTATGGCTTCAGGTCTCATATTTAGATCTTTCATCCATTTTGAAATCACTTTTGTGTATGGTGTAAGAAAGTGGTCCAGTTTCATTCTTTTGCATGTAGTTGACCAGTTTTCCCAACGTTTGATGAAGAGACTTTTTCCCATTGGGTATTCTTTCCTGCTCTCTCAAAGATTAATTGACCATAAATTGTGCGTTTATTTCTGAGTTGTCTATTCTGTTCCATTGATCTATGTGTCTATATTTGTGGCAGTATGATACTGTTTTGATCACTACAGCTTTGTGATATAAATTGAAGTCTGGAATTGTGATGCCTCTAGCTTTTTTTTTTTTTTCCAAGATTCATTTCACTATTTGGGGTCTTCTGTAGATCCTTACAAATTTTAGGATTTTTTATTCTAGCTTTGTGAAAAATACTGGTGGTCTTTTGATAGGGTTTGCTTTAAATATGTAGATTGTTTGGGTAGTATAGACATATTAATAGGATTTGTTCTTCCAACTCATGAGCATAGAATGGTTTTCCATTTCTTTGTGTCATCTTCAATTTCTTTCATCAGAGTATTATAGTTTTTAGAGTACAGGTCTTTCACCTCTTTAATTAGGTTCATTCTTAAGTGTCTTACTATTTTTGGTGCAATTGTAAATGGGATCAATTCTCTTTCTCCTGCTTCATTATTGGTGTATGGAAATGCCACAGATTTCTGTACATTGATTTTGTATCCTGACACTTCACTGATTTTATCAGTTCTAGCAGTTTTTTGGTGTAGTCCTTCTCGTTTTCTATATATAGTATCATGTCATCTGCAAATAGTTCAAGTTTTATTTCTTCCTTACCAATATGGATGCCTTATATTTCTTTGTGTTGTCTGTTTGCTGTGGCTAGGACTTCAAGTACTATATTGAATAAAAGTGGTAAGAGTGGACATCCTTGTCTTGTTCCTAACCTTAGGGGAAAGGCTCTCAGTTTTTCCCCATTGAGGATGATGTTACCTTGTGGGTTTTTCATATATGGCGTTAATTATGTTGAGGTATGTTCCCTCTAAACCTACTTTGTTGAGGGTTTTTATTATGAATGGCTGTTGTACTTTGTTAAATGCTTTTTCTGCATCTATTGAGAAGATTAAATGGCTCTTCTCCTTTCTCTTATTGATTCGATGTATCATGTTGATTGATTTGTGAATACTGAACCACCCTTGCACCCAGGAATAAATCCCACTTGATTGTGCTGAATGATTTTTTTAATGTATTGTTGGATTTGGTTTGCTAGTATTTTCTTGAGGATTTTGCATCTAAGTTCATCAGAGATATTGGCCTGTAGTTCTGTTTTTTTTTTTTGTGGTGTCTTTATCTGGTTTTGGTATCAGGGCGATGGGAACCTCCTAGAATAAATTTGGAAGTTTTCCTTCCTTTTCTATTTTTTGGAATAGTTTGAGAAGATTAGGTATTAACTCTTCTTTAAATATTTGAAAGAATTCACCTATGAAGCCATCTGGTCCTGGACTTCTGTTTGTTGGGATTTTTTAATTACTGATTTAATTTCTTTGCTGATTATCAGCACATTCAAATTTTCTATTTCTTCCTGTGTAAGTTTTGGTAATTCATGTTTCTAGGAATTTATCCATTTCTTATAGATTGTCCAATTTTTTGGCACATAGTTTTTTTATAATATTCTCTTGTAATTGTATTTCTGTGCTATTGGTTGTTATTTCTCCTTTCTCATTTGTGATTTTATTTATTTGGGTCTTTTCTCTTTCCTGAAAATTAATTTTTAAAATGGCAGTAAGTACATAACTATCAATAATTACTTTAAATATAAATGTAAAAGTGCTTCAATCAAGACATAGAGAGGCAGAATGGATAAAAAAGAACACCCATCTATATTCTGCCTACAAGAGACTCACCTCAGACCTAAAGATGAATACAGAGACTGAAAGTGAAGGGATGGAAATACATTCACTACACAAATGGAAGGCAAAAAAAGCCAGGGTAACAATACTTATATTAAGACAAAATAGACTTTAAAAATACAGTGTAACAAGACACAAAGAAGGGCATTATATAATGTTAAAATGATCATTCCAGTGAAAGGATATAGCAATTGTAAGTATCTATGCACCCAACACTGGAGTACATAAGTACATAAAGAAAATATTAATGACATAAAGGGAGAAATTGATGGTAATACAATAATAGTTGGGGACTTTAAAAATCCACTTACATCAATGGATAGGTCATCCAGGCAGAAAATGAGTAAGGAAACAATGTCTTTGAATAACACATTGGACCAGATGGACATAACAGACATATAAAGAACATTCTATACAAAAAGAACTCATTCTTTTCAAGTGCACATGGAACATTCTCCAGGATAGATCACATGTTAGGCCACAAAACAAGTCTCAATAAACTTAAGAAGACTGAAATCATATCATGCATCTTTTCTAACCACAATAGTATGAAACAAAAAATGAATCAAGAAAAAAACTGGAAAAAAACACAAACACGTGCAGACTAAACAACATGATACTAAACAACCAATGGGTCAATGAAGAAATCAAAGAAGAAATAAAAAAATACATAAATATGAAAATGAAAACAATAGTCCAAAATCTCTGGTTCTAAGAAAGCAGTTCTAAGAGGGTAGTATATAGCAAACAAACCTAACTCAGGAAACAAGATAAAAGGGACGCCTGGGTGGCTCAGTTGGTTAAGCGACTGCCTTCGGCTCAGGTCATGATCCTGGAGTCCCGGGATCGAGTCCCGCATCGGGCTCCCTGCTCGGCAGGGAGTCTGCTTCTCCCTCTGACCCTCCTCTCCCTCTCATGCTCTTTGTCTCTCATTCTCTCTCTCTCAAATAAATAAATAAAATCTTTAAAAAAAAAAAAGAAGAAACAAGATAAAACTCAAACAATCTAACCTTACACTTAAATGAACTAGAAAAAGAAGAACAAACAAAGCTCAAGGTCTGTAGAAGAAAGGAAATAATAAAGACTTCAGAGCTCCGGGTGCCTGGGTGGCTCAGTCGTTAAGTGTCTGCCTTCGGCTCAGGTCATGATCCTAGGGTTCTGGGATCGAGCCCCTCATCGGGCTCCCTGCTCTGTGGGAAGCCTGCTTCTCCCTCTGCCACTCCCCCTGCTTGTGTTCCCTCTCTCGCTGTGTCTCTGTCTGTCAAATAAATAAATAAAATCTTAAAAAAAAAAAAAGACTTAAGAGCAGAAATAAATTACATAGAGACTAAAAAACAATGAAACCAAAGATAGTTCTTTTTTTAAAACTTTTTTTTTTAAAGATTTTATTTATTTATTTGACAGAGAGACAGAGAGGGAACACAAGCGGGGGAGTGGGAGAGGGAGAAGCAGGTTTCCCCCCAAGCAGGGAGCCTGATGTGGGGCTCAATCCCGGGACCCTGGGATCATAACCTGAGCCGAAGGCAGACGCTTAACGACTGAGCCACCCAGCTGCCCCTAAAACTTTTTTCAAAAAAAATTTTATTTACTTACTTGACAGACACAGCAAGAGAGGGAACACAAGTGGGGGGGTGGGGGGGGCTGGAGAGGGAGA